TATATATATAATAGATTAAAGATTAAAAGACAGGGTACATGTCCTTTATTCTATACCCTGTTTTCTTTCATTCAGACAGCAGTGGTCAGTCTGTAGTTCAAAACTGAACAAGATAGCCAAAATTGGACTGGCTGCAACAGGGAATGCATGCTCACAGTTTTAAGCAGTTCTGAAGCATTGTATATAATTTGCATAATTGTAACTATCAATTCAAGAGAAGGCTGGAAAGGAAAGACGAGAAGCAATTCCTTCCTGACTGGTCATGTTTTGATAAATAGGTGCCAGCAGTGGGAGCATGAGAAAGCCTCCTTTAGCACTGCACATAATTAGGCCATACAGCAGTAAATTGACTTACAGCTCTCTGATTTATATTGCTGGCCTATATAGAGCCATATCACACATTTCGCTAAGGTTTTGAACACAGTAGCCAGGAGTGGCTGTCCAATAGTAAGATGGAAGTACTGAAATGCCAAGGATTTTACCTGTCTAGGTTTCAAAGTTATTTTTATTTTAACAATGCTCTTAGCCAAAAGCAACCAGCACTCTACAGTAGGAGTTCTAGAGAGATCACTGGGATTAATGTTATACATATTTTACCTAACCATGGCAAGGTTCCATTATGATTATATGAGTGGCATTTAATCACACAGTCTACTTTCTCAAGTAAAACTTTAAATGGCTGAGCAAGGCCCTTCAAATCATGATTATGCCATTACAGTCCTTAGCAAAGCAAATGAGATTATCAGCCAGTCTACACAGTATGGTTTTGATGAAGAGACTGTGTGATGTGTTAACAAGAGGTCATTTGCTGTGAAATCTACTTTGGAAACATAATTAGTTTATTCTATTTTTTTTCCAAATAATAGTAAAAGTGTGAGGCTAGTTTCTAAAAAGGAACAATTAGCATATGATGAAATGCTCCATTCGAGCAGAGGGAATTACATCAGGGAGTTGGTAAATGATAATGCCTGCTCTGACTGTTGTGGTATGAACACTATGTCATTCTCAGAATAGAACATTACAAAGCCAATAAAATATCACAAGAATCTGAAGAATCTCTATGCTGCTGCAATGGAAGACTGACAGTTATAATATATTCCCCCAGAATTTTGATGGGAAAAATGTGACATTTAAACCCATTTTGATGCACTGTATCATCCATTCTTTTAACAGCCAGTCAACCAGCAGTATTGTTTAGAATGTGCAAATATTAGTCAGAGGATGGGCCACATGTGCATGCCATACATATTTAAAAAAATTGCTATTTTTAGACTGTTCTGACAAACACAAATATTGACAGATGTCTTAAATATTGTAGCCACCTACTATATTAAAAAAAAATCATTAATTTCCAAGAAAAATTAATAAACATACAATTGTAAATTGCCATCTTTAGCTAAAATTACACATTTGGACAACTATTTCTAGTATACTTTTTGATGTGGTTGGTTTTCTAAGAACAGAAAAAACTTTAAACTATTACCTGAAAAGCCAAAGGGCATTTTCAGCATAGGATAATCAATAGCAACCATCATCATCATAATCAGAATTCCTCTTGATTTCAGTTAATAATAATATGGCTAGTTGCTATAGTTACTATACTTTGAATATCATAATTGTTTCTGGCAGCAGCTAATTAAATTACTCAATAATTTGAGTGAGATATGCATTTCAGTCTTGTAAGGTTTATTAGAAAATGCATCGTGCAATGTGCAGTGGCATACAGTAGTTGATCACAATTAATCTTTTACTGACTTGACTTCAGTAAAGTGAAATTTGATTGCTTGCTATGGATTACAGCATGTTACACATCAGCATTCTACACTGAACTGTGGCCATGAACTCCTATTCTGGCCCCCTTCTGAAAACAAGTTGGCCTGAGGCTACAGTAAAACTATTGGACCCTACTAAAGCAAGGCCTGGACAATTCACACCAAATAGTATAAAAAAAATTCATGATCAATAGATCTACATATACACATAGTTTAAATTATAGGAACATTTTCTAGAATCGGCATGAATTGTTTTTTTTTTAAAGTAATGCAGAAACAATACATGTAGTATATACAGGTATCTAGTATTAGATTATTATAACATTATCGTTTATAGCAGATTTTGGATTCTTCTAATCTGAAAATAAATCACTATCTTTACTTGAAAGTTCCTTCTTTCTCCTTTAACTGTTGGACATAGTGTAGAACATGTGCCACTTGAGGAACTAAGCCTTTGTGTAGATGGAACTTTTACTAGGTCAAGACTGACACATATTACTACCTTGTGGATGGTGTGGTCTACATAGAGATACTTGCCAGTGACAGATACCAGAAAGATCATGTTGATTTAAGGAGTCCTCATGGAGCAGAATATGAGTTCCCTTATCTTTCTAAGACACTGGGAATTCATATGAGCCATTTTAAAATATCAGCTATCTATTCTGTGCAACCATAAGCCCATTCACCATATGTTTTTGGTGAGCCTATATATGGACCCTATTCAGGTGAATGTGCCACTAATGTGCATTCGTTCATTAAAGAATGTCTTAATATTCACAAACATATACCATACCTGACTCAATGGAATAAACAACTTCAGCATTTTTCCCTTTATCTTTATCTAATGCAATGACTTGGAGCACAGCGGATCCAACAGCTGCTGATTCATAGACTCGACCTTCATAAAAAGAGCTTGTAAACCAGGGGGCATGGTCATTGGTGTCAGTCACATTAATAACAATCCTGGCATAGTTGCGCATGACAGGGACATCTTGATCACGCACCTGAAAAATGAATGCTTAGTCAATACTCCAGCACATGAATTTTACAATAAAAAATAAAAAAAATGTCCCATTTGTCAGCTGCAGAGAAAGAGATGTGTGATTACTGCTTACCATTACGGTAAGAATGTGCTGCTGCATTGCTTCGTGATCCAATTTTTCTACAACGTACAGGGAGCCCGTGGCAGGGTCTATTCGAAACTTCTTCACACTAGCGGGGTCAGTGCTGCTCTGTAAGGTGTAAATCAATTTATTCTTCTCATCTTTGTCAGTGGCAGTGACTTGCAAAATCTCTGTCTCCGGTCTAACGTCTTCTGGGATCAGCACTTCATACTTTGAGGTAGAAAATTCTGGCCGGTGGTCATTGGTGTCGATAACTTTAATTAAAACCTAAAAAGAGAGCATAACTGAAGATCATACATTTTAAAGGCATTGAATGTATACATTGCATAAACAGTTGTTCTTGTCTTCTGTCATAAGACAGACATATGGAGACTGCCATGTCTGACCTCTTCTACTGAAAATGTTATCTGTCTGGTTGCTATGTGGATGCTTTGCTTTTAACACTTTCTAAACTACTGACACAGAAAAAGTTTAAGGAATTCTGACTTTTCTCTGAACTTCTTTTGCTACTTGTTCCCAGTCTATAATTCAGAAGTACTGAAACCAGACTTAGCCAGACAACCAGTATTTTCAGAAAAAGGCAAGCAATGGTAGTTCACATATTTCTCTATTGCCCAGTGCCCCTGAATGCACAAGTTTACCTTAATACCTTTCCAGCCTGTAACATATTTGCTGTATTCTATAGATTCTATAATTATTATTAAAATTCTATATTTCCCATTTACATTGTTTTTCAACGATACCCTAGTCTAGATCATTTTTTTATCATGCTCGAAGGTCTTGGATAATCTGTATAAAGATGGAGGCTGTTGGCTTACTCAATCCTGTAATGCAATGAGGGGTGCCTTACTTCCCACAGCCCAAAAAACAGGGTATTTTGTGGAGTGCCAGTGGTGCAGTGAGTAGGGTTATTGCACTAATAATGGTGACATCTGTTACCTTATGGTGCCTACTGTTATATATTTTACAGTAGTCTTATATATCAAGTACTGTTGTTCTGCCTGATGAAGGGGATCCTGCGAGACCCCGAAACGTTGCATTGAGTCTATCACGTTATGCTGTGCATACATCAATAAACAGATGTATTTGACTTGCTATCGGAGTGCTGGTGTCTATATATTTTGTTTATGTGTGAGATCAGAGACTTAAGTCTCAGGGTCTCCCAGGGAACTTTGCAAACAGTAACAAAAGTATGTGCGGGCACCTTTGGGTATTTTCTTTTAAACCTATATTTAGTTATTTAACCTGAAGACAGGTTTACTTTAAATTTAATTTGATATTTGACCATGTAGGCCAAACCAACAGGTTAATTTTAACATGCCTCTCCTTACCACCACATAATTATCGTTGCTTCATTCCCCTGCCACTCCATTCATCTGGCAGGATCCCTGAAAACACAACACTGTGTAAGTTCTGAGCTGCTCTATTCTCTGCTCACCCCCATTTGACAGCACTGGACCAATCAGCTAGCATTAACACTGTCACCTGAACTGAATAATATGCTCCTACATACCCATAAGTATTTTAATTGCTCCTGGTATCTGAATGCACAAAAATGAGGATATACTCCTAGAGGACCAAGCATTAAAGCATTAAGCTGCCCATAGACATAAGATAATTTTAGAACAATATGGCTAATTATGGTTGGACCATTAAACATATTTTCCGGGAATTGCTCAATCTCTGCATACAACATACAGCCCATAGCCGACTGGTTTCAGGGAAACAATTGATCTCCTGACTTGGAAATACCCAGAACATCAATACTGTCCCCCCATTAAAAGGACTGTACCAAGCACACCTTACCCATACAACCATGCATGTTTATGCCACAATCATGAGCATTCAGCAGTTTTGATTTAATTCCAGTTACCTCAAGTGTACACCTTTACATTTACTACTGCTTTTATTCAGAGGTCTATTAACAACTTTATTATCTGAGTACAACCTCTTTAGTTATTAGAGTGCAAATTAGGAATTGTTTTTTAGAGTGACTCCCTGCAGTATAATTCACAGAATGGCGCTACAATGAAACAATCGTTATCTTAGTTCTGGTACATTCCATAAACACTTATATGAATGTTTGTGAATGCCACTGAAGCTATTTCATACCATACAAGTTGTACTTTATGTTCACCCATCTTTTGAACAAGGAGCTTGTTAAGTTAGCGTGATTGCACATTCCATTTTTTATCTGCCTCCAGTAAATGTTTTAGACATCTTTTTGCTCCTGAAAACACTGCTGATGGGAAATTAAAGCAGTGTTGTTCACTACTATCCTGACAGATTTCATTTAGAGTTTTCATGTCATAAAATATATAAAAATACATGAATTTATATGCCTTTGGGTGTCACAGATTTTATCTGCATCTGCAACAATAATCTTAGGTGATAATTTTTACATGGTTTTACTTTATGAGGTGCAACATTCCTAAAACAGGAACAGTGGTATCAAGATTCCAATCAAAGATAGCACAACCTGGTCTATTTGCATACATATTCAGTAAATACATGTTTAATAACAGCCACAGACAGAGACTACTAATAATGGAGCACCATAGCAAAATTATGATAGAGTCCCCCGGGCTGACTCTTTCTGTAGCACCTTGTCATGTCAACTGTGACAATTAGTGTCATTGATCTTAACATAAACTATGCTTAAATCAAGGACAGACAGCAGGAGAGCTGTCAGCATAGTCAGTACACTACAAAGAACCGGTGTTGTGCATGGAAGTTATAGTTGTAATAGAGATAGTCATAATAACCTTTATGATATCAGCCCTGCTATATGGTTTTAGCTGAGGAGAAACTCTGGGATTTCTGACTGCATAAGGCATACAGGGTTATTTTCAGTCTGTAGCTGAAGTTCACTGCAAAAACTACTGAGTAAATGCTTCTTACTGGGCAGCCACTCTACCCAGTAAGAAGCATTTACTTACCTTTAACAACAATCCTCATGTCTGACTTCAGCCCGTCTATGCTAAAAACTTAACAGCCTCACTAATGGGCCCTCCACCTACTTCAGGCCCCATAGCGGCTGTGTGGGCTGCTATGGCTATTTTTACACCACTGGTACACAGTAATCTTAATCACAAATGTATTTAGTGCATTTATTTATGCAACACTTGGCAATGTTTACAGGACACACAGAATCATTTACCACTGCCCCTGCAACACAGAAGTTTACACTCTAATAATAAACTAAATAATTATTATGGATTGCAGCTGCAATATAATGATACTATTGAAATGCCTTTGTGGCTTGAAAAGGGAGACACAAATTACAGTAAGGAAGACTTTTCAAGGTAGCCTCAAAGAAAAGTAAGAAGTCACATACAACCCCATAACGTAGCATTTACACCAAGGATTCCAAATTTAATTTCCATAGGGAATCACACAGATTTCATCAATCGCTATGAAAAAGCAAGTAGTTATGGATAAAAAAATGATAGCTGGCAAACTGCATTATGTAAACATTATCTTAAACAGTTAAAATCTTAAGATCTTAAACATTATCTTAACTTATCTTATAGTATATCTAAAGCCAAAACATGTTTTCCAATTTAGAATTGTTATGGTATTATTAAAATCCCTGCCAGGTTCTTGTTTGCCATCTACGTCCCAGTTCGGAGATTTTCCTTCATTCCCTGTCCAGGAGATTTACAAGGAAGTGAGTAAAAATCTCTTCAAAGTAAGGAAAATGCACTCTAAAGCTGAGTACCCTGATATCTTTTTTTTTTTTTAGATCAGCCTACATTTTTAGCATGTTTCTCCAACAAAAGTCAAAATAATAATCAAATTTTGTTGAGGAGACAGTGATACCACTGGATTGAATTTCAGGCAATTCCTGCTGAATTAGCCACTATATGATCCGTGTGTACCAGGTTTTAGACAATTGTCACCACCGCAGGTGTCCATTTTGGAAGAAAACATAAGACTTTAGCTGTGTACACATATTAGACAGTGGCCGCACATGCAACAGCCCAGAAAAATCCAACCCCCCACAGCTTGTGAAGGTAAGTCTGGAGTGGTTAAATAGGGACCATAGACATACAAAGTTCCCCTGTTTAAACATAAATGAAAACATTTAGTCACCTCCCCTCTCATAAACCGTGGGGCGGAGGGTGGGTGAGGATGTACTTGATTATGCTGGAGTACATAAAACACTTGGACCTGTGTACTCTACCGATTAGCAGGAACCTGACTGGTTCTCTTTAATATAAACAAAATAAATATGCCTCTGTGGAGTCTTACTAATTGTTCCATAAGCCTCTAAGAGTCAATGGTCACATGGGAACAACAGAAGCTAATACAAAACATATAAAGACTATTTACTCATTTTATGGATAAATAGCTACATGTCCACAATATTTATTAATTGCTATACTATAGAGGGGATATATAGAGCCAAGGTGAATGTTTATGTAGCTTTGTATACAAAATAACACCCTTGGGAGCACAAATTGCAGCACTGTACACAATTGAGACATTAGTACAAAGCATTAGTCAGAACAAGCTGAATTTTCAGAATTTAATTTGTGTGAGTTTTCTTAAAAAAACCTATACAACCTTGACCTTGGAGGCATAATGGAACAGCATGCTAGAAAAAAAGTGACTATGCAAGCAGCTCCCAACTAGACTCTGATGGCCGAGTCCTCCAGCTGCATGTAGCGCAGGCCGCTTACTTACAGGAATGCCTGTTAATTAAGATTTGCAAACACTGAGCACATTCTCTGAATTCTTGATTGTACAAATCCCTATGATTATTCAACAGTTTAAACTGCTGGCTCAATGCGACAATGCGTGTGATCCTGCAACTCAGGTCGTAATTCCACCAAGACAATTTAGCTGGGAATTATGACTGAAAAGCCTTATTTTATTATAAGCAATGACTGAAGCTGAAGCTCCCATCTAGTGCAGAATGCTGTCACCGGTTGACTCTGCTCTGCTCCTGAAATAGCATTGCTTCTGGGATTTCGACAATGGCAGCATCCAGCACTAGAGGGGAGCCTCTGGTGAGACGCAAAAGAGAATTCCCAACAGATTGCCACAAAAAGTATATGTAAACCCAATCGCTAAAATCCCACATAATCTTTAACCTATAATAAAATCTATATAAATATATAATAATATAATCCCAAAAGTGATTTTCAATATTTATAAATCTGCTGCTTTCATTAAAATAATACCTGGAGATCTTGCAATGAAGGAGCTTATACAGGTGAACTTTTAATAGAGGGTAACAACGCTCTGTCTCTTAGTTTGGG